CATCTGAATTCTATAACATACTTTAAAGATTTAAAATAACAAGTTAGTTTCCATATAAAACTTTTTTACATTAATCAAAAGACTTGTTGGTTTAAATGGAACGAGTTTGGTTCCTCTTAAACAAAATCTCGAATTCGAGTCTTGTGAATAGAGAAACAGATGTTGAGAGAATTTGTATGACGTGACTCAATTTTAAATTAATCGAGACACAATATGATTACCAGATACCTAAACATTAATACCAAACAAAATAAAACTGTTTACACCATAAATTGTATTTTTTTAATAATGCCACGTGTCAAGGGGATAAGATGAGATTAAATCTATTGAAGGGATATATATCTGTAAAGTTGATTGGGAGGATAAAGGTTATCTAGTTTGTTGCAGCTTAAATTTAAAAGTAACAATAATCCCTAGAATTTGAGATAAAGTTATCTATGATCTGATCAACTAAGAGACAATCCACAAGATGCATATAAATAGAAGCTTTCTAAATTTTCTGAGGATACACGGCCAGCCCTACACAGAAACTCATCAAATTTTCAATTCTTTAGTTTCGTAATGATTGTTCATCTTAACTTTCATATATCAGTTTTAGCACAGATCCCAATAGATTTAAGTTGTTTTCAGCATTCAAGTACCCAAATTAGTTTGTGTAATTGCTTCTTTGATTTCCTTTCATGCAATAAACATCAAGTTTATTTTAATTTCCATCTCATTCAGCTCATTTTGGATCTATTAACTTAAATTCATGGTAGTGGTAAAATCCTTGAGATTGTCCAAAACAGATTAGCAACTCATTCTGTAGGAAGACATCCCTTCCTCTTGCAAATCGTTTGAAAGATGCAAAACTCAGTCTTAAACCAACGTTTGGAAAATTTCTTTTTTCTTACCTTTTAGAAAAGTAAGTGACATATCTGCATCCAAATTCCGCACTCGCGAAGCCACTTAAAGATTTCTAAGGAAATAAAAACTTTTTACATTTTCATTTGGCTCAGTAAAATTTTTGTTATAAGTTTCTTATTTTACAATTGGCAAAAACACTTCTTAAACTCCCAAACTTATCCCAAAATAACATTTAAGCCCTTAAACTAAAATTTCCTCCAACTCCACTAACGATACAAATAGACCCCTCTCACAAATGGACCAAATGATATTTTATGTTTAATATCACATTGAAAGCATGAACACCCATAAATGAACACCCATAAATGAAAAGAGTTTATTTCCATCATTAGTAAAGTTAGAGGGTTTATCTGCTTCGTTTTTTGTTTAAAAGCTTAAATGCTATTTTAGGATAAGTTTGGGACCTTAAGAAGGGGTTTTGCCTTTACCATTCAAACCAGCAACAATTTTTGTTATGACATTTTTGT